TGTGGTTTTTTTTTTTTTTTTTTTTTTTCATGTGGTTCTTATTTGTGGTCATGAAGCTGGTTCTTGGAGATGAGGTCAGAAGGGCTTACAAGTCTTTGAAAGGCCACTGACCCCTCAGACCAGGAACCCCGCAAGGACAGGGGACATGTCTCCACCAATAGACTAGAGATTATACGGGCAGGCCCATGTTCCTCCCATTAGACCCGGGGGGCTGTGAGGGCAGATCAATGTCTTGCTCATCAAACTGGGGCTATGAGGCTGGGAGACCGGAGCCTCAGACAGGGGCCTGCAGGAGTGGGGTGGGGAATAGAGTGGCTTCTAGACGCCTGACCCCACTGTGTGCCCAGGACACGGCAGGCCAGGAGCGCTACCGTACAATCACCACAGCCTACTACCGCGGAGCCATGGGCTTCCTGCTCATGTATGACGTCGCCAACCAGGAGTCCTTTGCCGCCGTGCAGGACTGGTGAGTGCTTGCTGACCACTGACCCCCTGACCTTTGCCCTCTCCCCCTGACCCTAATCTCTGGCCTAACACAGCCCCTCAAACTCCACAGGGCCACGCAGATCAAGACCTACTCCTGGGACAATGCTCAAGTCATCCTCGTGGGGAACAAGTGTGACCTGGAGGACGAGCGTGTTGTGCCCACTGAGGAAGGCCAGAGGCTCGCTGACGACCTTGGTTAGTGCCCAGCCTGGGCCACAGGCCTGGGACCTCCCAGAACCAAACCTCCAACCCTGTGCTTGAGTCCCAGGTCCAACCACTGTCACCAACCCTTTGCCCTTTGAAGATCTGCCCAGAAAAATACCCACTTGTATACCACCTGCTGCATTTCATTTCAGAGGATTCACCCACAGATACCCTTTACCGCCCCACTGCCCTGGGAACCCAGACTCAGCAAAACCATTTCTGCGAATTTATCCTACAGACATCCACTTCCCATGTGGGAAGTGGCGGGTATATCAAATTGCAGCACCGTTAGTGGAGGGAAACCTTGGCAACCTCCCAAGTGTTCCACAGTGGGAGAAGCAGCTACACGTAAACTATAGTCACATGGTGGAATACTACACAGCTGTAAGAAAGGATGAGGACCTTCTTTATGTTCTGGGGTCTCCGGGTATATGGTTAAGTGGAAAAAGCAAACTGCAGAAAGGTGAGTATGGCTTCTTCCTTTAGTCCAGTGGTCAGCAAACTCTTTCTTTTCTTTTCTTCTCTTTTTTTTTTTTGCTCCTTGTGGGATCTTAATTCCCCAACCAGGAATTGAACCCGTGCCCCCTTCAGTGGACACGTGGAGCCCTAACCACTGGACTACCAGGGAATTCCCAGCAAACATTTTCTTAAAGGGCTAAATAGGAAATGTTTTCAGTCCTAGGGTCTGTGTCACGACCCCTCAGCTCTGCCTGAAAGCAGCCATAGATAATACATCAATGAATGAGCATGACTGTCTGCCAATAAAACTTTATTTACAAAAATAGGCAACAGCACCTGAAACTAACACGATAACATGATGTTGTAAATCAACTGTATTTCAGTAAAAAAAAATATATATAGATGACAGGCCAGATTTGGCCTGCAGCTCAAAGTTTGCCAACCCCTACGTTAGTGTATAAAAAGGGTGAGAATAAGGATATTATACTTATGTTTGCTTAAAGGAACTCTGGAAGGATACAGAAGGATCTAGTAACAGTGGTGACCTGGGCAGGCCAGGGCACCAGAGTGGGAGGGGGACTTTTCAGTCTACCTTTCTGAATCAGGTAAATGGATTATCAATTCAAAGTTTAAGCTAAAAGAAAATCTCATCTTGGAGTATTCTAGTATTCTGGGCCCTCCCCAGGACTTTCCTTGCGGGAGGCATTGTAACCTCTATGGGGGGAGGGCGGGTTAAGGACCCAGACTCTGGAGCTAGAATCCCCTTCTGCAACCCACTAGCTGTGTGACCTTGGGCACCTCACCTACCTTCTCTGTGCTTCCATCTCTCCATCTAGGAAACAGGTGAAAACCACATCTACTTCATAGGGCTGTTAGAAAGATTAAATAAGCAAATGCTGGCCATGATTGAACATTAACTCCTGTTATTTCTCGATTGCTTTGTGATCTTGCACCGCTGACTTCGGCTCTCTGGGCTTGCCCTTCCTCACGTGTGAAATGCAGATAATAACAGCCCCACCTCCTCAGGTTGTCAGGAGGGTTAAATGAGTTATGACGTGTGAGGCAGTTCTAACAGAGTCCGGCACACGTGTAGGTTGCATCTAAGCATTAGCTAGCATGATTGTGAACTATTGCTGACGCTTGTACATAAAACCTAAGAGATTTACTATCTGACCCTTTACAGAAAAAGTTTGCAGACCCCTGGACCATAACGGTCCTCTTTCTCTTTTTTTTTTTTTTTTCTTGCCATCGTTTGTTGGAGAAACTCGGTCTTTGTTCTGTGGAATGTCTCCGTTTGGGGTTTGACCCTGCTCCCTCGTGGTGCCATTTAACCTGCTCCCTTGTCCGCTGTGTCTTCTGGGAACCTCAGCCTGGGTCTCATTAACAGGTGTGCTGGGGAGTCAGCTTTTGGTGCCCGGCCGTGGGCTAGAATACTTGAGGATGCTGCTCACACCTTCCTTTTTTTCTTTTTTTCTGGCTGCGCAGCAAGTGGGATCTTAGTTCCCCAACCAGGGATCAAACCCGCACCCCCTGCAGTGGAAGCACGGAGTCTTAACCACGGGACTGCCAGAGAAGTCCCCTGCCCACACCTTCTTGCGGAAAACATCTAGTGCCTGGTGTGAGGGGAGATTCCCACTCGGGCATTAAATTTAAAACATTAGAGGACAAAGTGGGAGATAGATTTCGATCCCAATTTTGTAAGAAAAAAGGCACAAACTTGTGCACACACACACATAACCCCTACAAACCGAACCCCAATGATTATGTATTTATATATATGTGTGTGTGTGTGTGGGTTTTTTTTGTTTTTTGGTGGTTTTTTTTGCGGTATGCGGGCCTCTCACTTTTGTGGACTCTCCCGTTGCGGAGCACAGGCTCCGGACGCGCAGGCTCAGCGGCCATGGCTCACGGGCCTAGCCGCTCTGCGGCATGTGGGATCTTCCCGGACCGGGGCATGAACATGCGTCCCCTGCATCGGCAGGTGGACTCTCAACCACTGCGCCACCAGGGAAGCCCTATGTATTTATATTTTTAAAAAGAGTGGAAAACTAAATATCAAAACACCAATAGTAATTGTTTCTGGGTGATGATGTTACACACAGCTTTTCTATATTTCTTGATATTTTTCAGTAGTTTCTGGTTTCTCCAGTGAATGAGTATTTATAACCAGAAAAAAAGTATTCAAAAAGAAAAAAAAACTTCAGATTATTTGAGGCAGAGCCAGACACAATTAAGGAAATGCCAAATTTGCCTAGGAAGACAGAGGGGTGACATTGATGATCACCAGACTGAGAATAGAGATCTGTTTTTGTGCCCTACCTCTGTCATTCATCTGTCCATCCAGCTATCCATCCATCCATCCATCTACACATCCATTCATTCATCCATCCATCTACACATCCATTCATCCATCGATCCATCTGTACATACATACATACATCTGTTCAATCAATCATTCAGTCAGTGGTTTCCAAGCATCTGCTCTGTGCCAGGCACTGGGCTGCAGTTGTGGACAAGGCAGACAGAAATCCTGTCCTCTTGGTGCTGGTGTGCCAGTAGCAGAGACATAGTAAATGGATAATTACACACGTAACTAATTACAATGACATTTTTATAGTGCTGCATGATAATGACAAGTGCTGGGATAGGGGACTGTTTATCCTGTGATGTGTGTAATATGGTGGACGTTTGTCTGAATTTCTGGCCTACCTTGGGGATGGCAGATGGGGACACGTTGGGGACCATTCAGGGACAGCTCCAAGCAAGCAGAGCTTGAACCAACCTTTTAAGGGTACAGGAAGGTCTGTCATTTATTCCCTTATTTGCAGGTTGGTGGGCCACTTATAGCCTGGGGACCCTGGGCAAGTCCCCAAAGCATTTGTACCACCTCTCACCTTTTCCAGGAGGGATAAACTCTTTTTTAATGAGAAAAAGTTATGATGGTCACTATGATGCTAAGAACATATTCAAAGCTACCTCGGCATCCCCTTCCCCAAAGGGAATCAGCCAGCCTGCCCTCCCTCCCGAGGCCCAAGGTGATACACTAGAAATGTTTAATCTATTAGTATTCCAACCAGGCAGCCTGGTTGTGTTCCCTGTATGAATTTACATGAGTGACTTTCCTTCTGTGTGCCCCAGTTTTCCCATCTGTAAAATGGGCTATAATAGTATAGGTACTTCCCTGGCAGTCCAGTGGTTAGGATTCCACGCTTCCACTACAGGGAGCATGGGTTCAGTCCCTGGTTGGGGAACTAAGATCCTGCAAGCTGTGCGGTGTGGCCAAAAAAGAAAGTATAAATCTTAGAGCTTCCTTAAATGAGTTAATTTATGTAAAGTGCTTAGAAAAATTGCCTGCTGTGTATTAAGCATGATGTAAGCACTGCCTATTATTATTATTGTTGTTATTATCATTTTTAGTGCATTCTGTAGACCAGGAACCATGTGCACTGTATGCTCTCTACAAACTCTTTGAAACCTGCCATTATCTAGCTGACAGAGGTTGCAAACTTGTAGCCCCTGGGCTGAAGCCAGTCCTCAGCTGGTGCTCAGTCCTCTGTTTTATTGGACCTAGAACATATGTTCCAGAACATGTGAAATACTTGGCTCCATTTAAAAGGTCCACATAAATATCCGGCTCTGTGGGCGCCCTGGCTGTGCCTTCCTGTGCAGCAGAAATTGACTAGAAGATGAGCCCCACTTACACAGGGGCACCCCCATATCCGCTGGACACCATAATGTTACTGCCTGGACTCTTGCTGCCACTGCCTTGTGACAGAGATATGCAAGGTAGTACAGGCTAGGGCTGCTGTCACAGATTTCTATCAGCAGCAGTAGCATCATTGTTCCCACTTTACCAAAGAGGAAACTGAGCCTCAGAGAGACTAAGGCCCTCAGTCAAGGTCCCACAGCTGCCCGAAGGGCAGAACTGGGCTTGGAACCCAGGTTCGGGTGATGCTACAGTCCAGGCTCTGCCCCCCAGGGTCTCACAGCTCTTCCCATCTTATGTCCCTGCAGGTTTCAAGTTCTTTGAGGCCAGCGCCAAGGAGAACATCAACGTGAAGCAGGTCTTCGAGCACCTGGTGGACGTCATCTGCGAGAAGATGAATGAGTCCCTGGAACCCAGCTCCAGCCCGGGCAGCAATGGAAAAGGCCCGGCCTTGGGGGACACCCCACTCCCGCATACCAGCAGCTGCCCCTGCTAGAGATGATCCCTCACCCCCACCCACCCCCTCCTGCCTCGGCAGGGACAGTGACTGAGGCATGAGCCACAAGGGCTGTTTCCAAGCTCAGGGCGCCCCCTCCCCTCTCATCAGCCGCATCCCCCCGCCCCCTGCCAACTCCCGCATGGCGCATTCTCTGGCCATGGCCACCAGCCTGCCCCAGCAGCCCCTTTCACAGGCTCCAGACCCTGGGGACTCCGTACTGCAGGCAGAGTCTGGGGATAGGGGCGTGCACGAGCTTGCTGCTTTCAGGTGTCTTCATGCAGGCAGCGTGTCCTATCCCGCCTGGTGGAGGGGCATCCACAGTGCCTTCTGGGTTAGAACCACTTATCCACATCCGTTTCTTTGTCGAGCATTGTTTGGAGTTCACGCGCTGGCCAAAGATGGTTATTCTTCTGCCTCGTGCAGTGGGGATTCTCGTGCTTCATCCCTGGAGATGTGGAAGGCGGCTCCTTTCTCAGGGTCACCCAGTCTGCTTGTGAACCTTCTCAGACCTCGAGGCTCCAAGGCAGGGTGGTGATTTAGTCCTCCCAGAACCCTCCTTTCAGGCCTGCACATCCTCTGCCTGTGAAAGCAGTATTAAAGCAGCTTTTTCCGTTGTAAGAGAAGAGGGAGTCAGACCCCCCGTTCCCCAGCCTGGCTTCAGGGACCCCAGAAGTGCCTTCTGAGCTTCCCCAGAATTCCACATCACCCACAACCCTGCCACTGTTTCAGCTTATCCACTTCATCCCTGATTCAGAATTGAATTCTGGAACTATGGGCCGCATGGGGCCGGGCAGAGAATCACCCAACCCTTGGCGTTCCTGCTGGGGACTTTTTACCAGAAGTTAACTCAGAGTCAGGAGCCTGGGCTCTCCTGCCCAGACCTGCCTGCCCCGGGCCCTGTTTGGCTGGTAATGGTTTAAGCAAGGTTCTTTCCACATCCGACATCCTGCTAGAAAAGGAAATTGAGCAATGTTCCTGTTTTCCTGTGCTGGCTGGTTGCTCTCCATGTAAGGACTTTGGCTCCTTCCACTTGAAAAAGCTTGAAGACTCAGTGTTGGCTTCCCGAGCCATGTCATCATTAGGGTCCAGTGATGTTCTCTGCTAATGGAAGAGTCACTCGAAAGAATGCTTTGGGGTAGGGCTGGAGGGGCGAGAAGGCAGGGTTGGGTAACTGCTGTGGCCGCTTGCATTTCACAGGTGCAGCTTGGGAGTGGCAGGCTGATGGGGGATGGGCGGGGAACCAGGCTCCCTGGTTGAGGCACTAGTGGGGAGCCCACCAGCTTGGGGTCCCCAGCTACCAGGGGCTCCTGCTGAGAGATGATGTGCAGTTTGGGGATCTACATCTTGACACACACACACCCGAGCCCCATCCTCAGCTCAGTGGCCCTTCCTGCCCACCAGAGTCCAAACCTGGTGACATGAGACCTTCTGCCCTGGAACACTGACACTCCAGAACTTGACAGACACTGTGAGAATGGCCAAGCATATGGTTTGTCCAGTCTCCCAGCCCCTGGCGCCAAAATGACTTCCTGTAAGCTTAAGGATCTCTGCTGCTTCCTTCCGAGAGTGGGGAAGGTCTGGTTCAAGTTTAATGTAGCTCTTACTTTTATAGAAGCTGGAGACTGAATTTATTTCTAGAGGGCCCTGTTCAGCCCAAACCATGGGCTGTCCTTAGAGCTTCAAAGTGGGGATATCTTTGTATACCAACAACTGTACTGTGATGAAAAGGACAAGTTCTTGGAAATGCACCATGAGAGAGTATCTGAAGGTTTGGGGTGGGGGTCAAAAATGTTAATTGCTTTAACATAAAAGAGAAAGTAAAGCAGCTAGAAAAAGGCTTCTTAAGATGCACCATGGCCTGTCAAGACCCTGTTGGTCAGTTCATTTTCCTTAAACTGCTGCCAGAAAAAAATGGTGGTTCAGAGTGTCACTATCTGAGGGACAAGCTGACTTGTCATCTCCCGTGTGATAAAAAACACCTTTGGCTGTATCTTGTACCTGACCTGGCCGAAGCTTTCTGTTTACACAAGATTTTTCAACAGTTCAGCTTCAAGTAGCAACTGAGACAGCTGCCTCTGGGTTCTCTTAAGCCTGGGAATGACGTAGGAGAATTTTTCTTGCTTCTTCTAAAAATAATGTAAGTTTTTATTTTGTGATGTTTTGGGGGGAGCTTTAACTCCTGATGGTCTCTGAGGAACTGAAACTGATGTCCTCAAAGATCACTAGGAGAGAATGGGAGTTTGCTGAGTTTACAAACAAAAATTAAGCCAAAGGCTGTGGGAAAACAGCTTCCCAACTCCAGGGAGGCTGGCATCTGGGGAGGTCACTTGAGGCTGTATCCTGCATCTGTGCTGTGCCTTCTTACCACTTTCAGCAACTTGTCCTTCCACAGGCAATTTCAGTGGGGAATTGCCATGACTGCTATCTGGGGTTATGCTTTTTTTCTTTTTCTTTCTTTGGCTTCTCTGGGGATCATATTCTTGTATCTTTCTCTCCTACCCCACTGGAAAAAAAAAAAAAAAAACAAGTAAGTGGTGACATTTGATCTCAGTGGTGAAGTGTTGATTCCCCTAACTGGCTTCTCCCCAATGATCCCAAAACACACTATAGAGAGAGCTCTGGACCTGATCATTTATATTCTGGGTGTGGTTCTCCTGTGTAAGCCATTCTTGGATGTCCACTTATAAAGATGTGCTCTTTTCTCCACAAGAAAAAAAAGATTAAAGTTGTTATGCCCAGATGCAGTTGTTCTTTTATTGCCATTAGTGAAATGTCCTCCAGGAAGAGGACAGTTAAATCACAGTCAAGTAGATAGTTGGGCGAGGGCCATGTGTGATGCTGCAGAACCCGAATCAGGGCAGGGAGGCTCAGGTCTAGGGCTTCCTCTAGCTGGGCCTCGTGGTCACTGCCTTGGCCCTGGAAAGTTCCACTGCATGGAGGGCAAAGAGGATGATGTTGCCTCAACTAATTCTAGTAAGAAGGTCTGTCCTCCCCATAGCAGCCAGAGGGCGCCAGTGAGTACCTGAGTCAGGTCACGTCCCTCTGGTGGGAGACCTCCATGGCTCCCACCTGACTCAGAGTAAATGCCTAAGTCCTCCCCGGGGTCCATGAGGCCCTGTGTGATCTGACCTGTCACCTCACTTTTCCCTGTCACCTGCCCTGTCACTCTTCCCACTTGCCCCCCAAACTTGCTGTGCCCCTCCTTGCTGCTATTTGAACGCACTAGGCCTCTGCCTCAGGGCCTTTGCACTGGCTGTTCCCTCTGCCTGGAGTCATGTGGCTCCCCTCACTCACTCCCTCTTTCAGGTCTTTGCACAAATCTCACCTTCTTGTTGACCCACCTTCCTCCCCAACACCAGGGTTAGGACTGCAAACCCTCCCACAGCATTTCTGTTGCCCCTTTCCTGGTGTCCCCCTCCCTACAGCCCCTAGAATCTAAAATACTATATAATTTACTAATTTAACTTAAACAAGTGTCTCCTTCACTGTAATATCTGCACCTCAAAGGCAGGGATTTTTAAATTTTTTACTACCGCACCCAGCTCTTTCCTGTCTGATTAAAAAAAAAAAAAAAAAATTTGGTCATTGCCCCTGGCTCTTGTCAAAGAGCTCCTAAAACCCTTGGAATATCCAGAGTGATAAGAGCATCATTTGTACACTAATGAGAAGACAAGCTACCCCTAGGTAGCTTCAGGATGGGGCTGATTGCCAGAAAGACCAAACCATGATTAGAGGGTTGAGACCATCAGCCCCAACCCCTGGGATGGAGCTCCAGGGAGGAAAGAGGGGCTGGAGATTGAGTTAATAACAAATTGTCGGGACTTCCCTGGTGGTGCAGTGGTTAAGACTCCGAGCTCCCGATGCAGGGGGGCCGGGTTTCATCCCTGGTCAGGGAACTAGATCCCACATGCGTGCCGCAATGAAGAGCCCACATGCTCAACTAAAGATCCTGCACGCCACAGCGAAGATCCCGTGGGCTGCAACTAAGACCCGACATAGCCAAATAAATAAATATGTTTTAAAAACATTGTCACTCCCGTCTGAGCTATATCCTTGGTAACAGTAAGTAAAGGATTTTCTGCGTTCTGTGAGTTATTCGAATGATCAAACCTGAAAGGGAGGGGGGATTGTGGGAACCCCCTAATTTTGTAGCCACGTCAGAGAAGTATGGGTGCCCTGGGGACCTAATACTGGTGACTGGCATCTGAGGTGGAGCCGGTCTTGCGGGACTGAACCCTTAAACTGTGGCGTCTGCACTAACTCGGGGTAGTGTCAGAATTGAACTGAACTGTAGGGTTCTCTGTTGGTGCCCCCAGAGAATTGTTTGGTGTGGAAAATCCCCACACGTTTGGTGTCAGAAACAGGAAAAACAGTTCTTCTTTTTCTTCCAGTTATTGACATACAGCTCTGTATAAATTTAAGGTGTATAACATAATGATTTGACTTACATACATCATGAAATGATGATCAACTAAGTTTAGTGAACGTCCATCATCTCATACAGATACAAAATTAAAGAAATAGAAAAAAAATTTTTCCTCATGATGCGAACTCAAGGTTTACTCTCAACAACTTTCATATATAACACAGAGCAGTGTTCATTATATTTATTGTGTTATCCATTGCATCCCTAGTACTTTTTTTTTATTATTCATTTTTGGCTGCGTTGGGTCTTCATTGCTGCATGCAGGCTTTCTCTAGTTGCAGCGAGCGGGGGCTACTCTTTGTTGAGGTGCACGGGCTTCTCATTGCGGTGGCTTCTCTTGTTGCGAAGCACGGGCTCTAGGCATGTGGGCTTCAGTAGTTGTGGCACTCGGGCTCAGTAGTTGTGGCTTGCGGGCTCCAGAGCGCAGGCTCAGTAGTTGTGGTGCCCGGGCTTAGTTGCTCCGCGGCATGTGGGATCTTCCCGGAGCAGGGCTCGAACCTGTGTCCCCAGCATTGGCAGAGGGATTCTTAACCACTGCGCCACCAGGGAAGTCCATCCCTAGTGCTTTTTA